TCTAGTCTCTCAGTTTTCGAGATATCCGGATCAAATTTGGTAGGTGGGTGTATTTTTATAATGTATTAATCATTTGTCGGAACCGGAAGAATCGGACCACTATAACATATAGCTCCCATACAACTGATTGTTCAGATATGAGATTTTTCGTTATAATTCATCCATTTATGTAGCTAGGACCATGAAATTTCGCGCTGTTTTCACTCATTATCAACAGAAGACTTACAGCGAAAATAACAAAGATCGGGTCACTATAACCTGCAGCCCCCATACAACTGATTGTTCAGATATGAGGTCTTTTATCATAACTCCTCCATTTATGCAGCTAGGAACATGAAATTTCGCACCATTTTCACTCATTATTAACAGAATACTTACAGTGAAAATAACAAGGATCGGATGACTACAACATATATCTTCCATACATCTGATTGTTCAGATATGGGATTTTACTGTAAAACTCCTTTATTTGAACAGCTAAAACCGATAAATTTCGTAAGATATTTTATAAATAATAATACAAAGTCTACTGAGAAAATCGTCAAAATCTATGCTGTATAAGCTTTATCTCCTATAGCACTGATTGTTCAGATACCAGTTTTTGCCATATATCTCCTTTATGTAGGAAACTAAACCCAATAAATTGTGTTACCGGTTTACATACCGATCACATAGCAGTGAAAATCACTTAGATTGGTGCCATATAAAGTATATCTTCCATACCTCTGATTGTTTAGATGCGATTTTTTATATAAGTATGTAACTCCTCTATCGATGTATGCAGATGTATTCAAAAGCAGTAATCTGTCAAAGTAAAATTTGCAGATGTTCATGAAAGGTATGAAGCCTTCGGCATAGCCGAAGACAGCGCTGCTCTTACTTGTTTGTTTGTAATTTCAAAACTTGAGATTTTCACTACAGTGTAATTATATTTAGATAAAGTTATTTAGAAAAACAATTTTTTCGGATTTTTCTAAAATTTGTTGGTTCATGGTTAAACTGACTAACCGTCCTTCTTTGAGGAGGATTGTCCTCCTCAAACGTGATTTGTCCTCCTCAAAAATATTTGCCTTCTCTGTCCTCCTTTTGAGCAAAAATGTCCTCTTTGTACTCATTTTCAAGTTTTATAGCAGTGATGAAATTTAAGAAAAAATTTCGTTCAGAATATTATTTCCCAATCGTGCACAATCATTGTATTTAAAAGCCGTTTACATTGTTCAACTTTCAGTTAAATGATGTATATGGGAAAGCCGTTTTAAAGTATGTTCACATATAAATATAATCTCAATCAAAGCTCATTTTTTAATCACCCCGTTTACACAGGCAAATTCAGATTAATAGTGCCAAATTTTTTGTGCTTGTTATTCTCTCATCTCAAGGAAAAGTTAAGTTCCTTCTCTGTGCCACCGTGATCATCTTTTCCTCTATACGAGGCAATTGAAATATATTTTAGCTTAATATTTGTTTAAAAATTTACAAACATCTCTTAATTGACAGCGTCCATGTTTGTTTACTTTTTCATTTGGCATATCTCCTTCTTCGCAAAAGTAATCGGTAAAACTAGGTTGGACACCGAAAGGTTATCGGTTTGATCTGAGATTATTTTATAATCCCTGTTTCTAATTACAGATTAGGGAGCTCCAAAATGAGGATAATCTACCCTTATGTTACCCTATATTACCCGTAACAAAACTGAAATACTAGCTAACGACGCGTCTTCACAGGCGAAAATTATTGCCTACCATATGTAATTTTGTTTGCCAGATATGTATAAGTTTTATCAGAAGCAATACTTGTGTGTGGGGATTTTCTATCTTGATAAAAGCATTTATAAGATGACTTAAAACAAGTATGTTCGTTGCATTGGAGCGCAAATATGCTTAAAAAATTTTACAAAATGTGTTATTTCACATCCAAGTACACAATCAAAAATAACACAGGCCCAGCGGCGGATCCAGACCTTTTTTGGGAGGGTGTTTTCCGGGAAATTTTGCCACTTATTCCTTTTAATTTAAACGAGTAATTTTTGTATATTTATATATAAAAGTGATCCAAAATAACTAACCTAGCGAATTTGGGGCCTTACAATTTACTGAGGAGGATATTAGCCCATTTCCAAAAATTTTTCATTTAAATTTTTAAAGGTGTCGGTGGGCATTTGAAATTTTCGATGCAAATAACATGTAAAAAAGTTTGTTTTCATTAAAAATGTTATAACTTTTGAATAGTTAAGTTTATGTGTTTTCAATGTGGAGAATTTGTCCTCCTGGAATGTTAAAAAAATTCGGGTCACCTTATTCATGGTTCAACTTAACTTAAATTTTACACACTTAATTTCGAGTCGTCGGGCATGCATTCATCTGACCATATTCTGCATGAGAGTTGATTCATGCACTTTATCAGCTCCTTGCTGACGTACTTGAATAGCTCTGCTAGCAGGCTGTTAGCTCCAGCAGCGTTGTTGTTTTTCAAGCGCGCTATTGCTATTCGTACCTCGTCATTGTCAGGTGGTGAAAAATCGGCTCCGTCGTCATTGACTGGGGCTCGGGTCCGTCTTCTCCACAGCTTTCATTGCTGCTACCGTTCAGTATGTTTGGAAAGTGTTACCTCCATAATTTTAGTACATTCTGGGCATCAGTCACTAGGTCGCCATTGTTGTGCGTACAAGTAGGGTTCAATCGATACAAGTAAATACTCGATACTTTTCTTTTGATACCAAGTATTTTTTTTACTCGATACCTTTTTGTTCGGTATCGAGTAGGTATCGAAAAAAAAGTACTTGGTATCAAAAGAGTAATTTCTACTACTTTTATCATTGCAACAGCAACTCAACAAATAACGCCCGTTATTAGAGCTTTCGCGAAAAGTGCGGTCATATAGTAGAGAAAGTAGAAATCGCTTGTCTGGAAAGCATTTAGAAAAGTTGTTGTTTCTTGGCAGTGTGCCCCAAAAGCTATTTTTTTCATAAATATTTTGTGAATAATATACTTATATGAAGTCATATATGTAATTATAACTAATATTGTTCCTCAGTAATGTACCAAAAGAAACAATACAATTTTTTTCATAAATAGTTTGTAAATGATGCAGTGCGCTGTATCCTTATAGGGGTGACCTTATGGATAAGTGTCGGATTTCAAGTTTTATTTACAAATTAATTTTAGTTACTTTTTTATAAAAAATATAGTTCATTCTATGACAAAAACCATGTAAATCCTAGTTTCAAATTTTGTACAAAAATTAAAAGAAAATCAAATTTTCACCAAAATTAAACACTTTTTATTCAGAATAAAAAGTGTGGAATTATGATGAAAACGTACTAGCGCAAAAGAGAAGGCACAAGTTGTCCCTTCTTATTATTTACGATCTTTGATGAAACTTTGTTGATCTGCTTTAATTTTAAACTTGGATTAACAAGGTTTTTGTTATGGAATGAACTATATTGTTTATAAAAAAAGTGAATAAAACTAACTTGAAAATAAAAACAGAAATAAAAATCCGCAGCTTATCCATATTGGGGGACCTATACACTCATATGACTGAAAAAATTATAGCCAATACTGTTCCTTGGTAATGTGCCACAAATATTAATTAATAATTATTTTGTATTCTTACTAAATAAGTTAAATATATACGTTTTCTATACCTGCAACTTTATTGGCTTTTTATTTGATTTGGACATACAATGTTTTAAACCATGATAAGACGTAATCATACGACCTTTTACAACAAAAAGGGAAGTATCTCTCAAAAGAGAAGATGAAAACAATTCAAGTAAGTACTCGATACTTTTCCGATACTGAGTAGGTATCGATACTTTCAGTCTTTTGAGTACAAGTACTCATTAGAGTGATACCTTAGTGGTATCGATTGAACCCTACGTACAAGAGTTCGCCTTGGTTTTAAACCTTCCGTACGTCGCCTAACTCTCTGGTAAAATTTTCTGGCATTCTTTCTGTAGGCCAGCATTTTAACCTCCTCGCGCACACGTTTTTCGGCCTCTCTCTTCTTATTGCGGCAAATACGTCTCACTTCCCTCTTCAGTTCCTTATGACTGTCCCACATGGCTCCCATTGCGCACCATAGCAGCGTCGGTTTGGCGCATTTATACAAGGTGGTGTTACTACATAGAACAGCTGTAGAATTTCATCCAAGACAAAATAGCATAACTCTAAGATGGCAATAAAACGAAATGAGGAAAATTATCCCCCATTTTCTTTCGTTTTGACTTCTTTAAGTACAAAAAAGCAATAACCAAATACACGTGAGTTTTACTTATAAGGGGGTGCTACCACCTTATATGGATGCGTCTTGGTGGCCCGGTAGGCGGCACCTATTCTCCGCAGCTTCTTGAAATTCTTCACCGTACCAGTTGTTCTTTCGGGGTCGTTGAAATCCAACTTCTTCTTCGGCGGAGGTACTTAATGAACGGGAAATGTGGTTCCACTGCTCGCATATGTCGGTTTGTTGAAGATTGCTCTCTGAGGGCGGGTGTGAGAGTCGAGCTGCGAATATAGTAATATATATCGCAATCTATGTACACAAGGACCTACAGCTCCGAACGGCGATTGCATTTTTATGAGAAGTAGTTTTTCTTGGAAGAAATACAATCGGAGGTTTGCCATTGCGTGAAGGGGGCGACCGCTATTGGAACAAGTTTTTTATTTTCTGGTTTTTGATGTTAGTCGGAACCTGAGCTTGAACCCAGGCCCTGCGGAATGGTACAGTGCACTGCTAACCACTGAATAAGAATATTAAGTATTAGTTGTAAATGGAAAATTGTTATGTAAATGTTTGGAATGATTGACAAGAGTGGACGGTGCTCTATATGCACGTGACATTAGGTGTGCATAAATGTAATCTCATAAATGCATGTATGTTTGAAAATAAGTAGCTGAATTAATCGAAATATTTATGTACATACTACATGCATGTATACATTTCACATACAAGTTTTTAATATTTCATGGACTCACACACAATGTTGTCGCTTTTCACAGTGGTGTTTTTGTGCGCATCAAGGACAAGAATCTGCATGTGGAATGTTTCAAGTGTGCAACTTGCGGCACCTCTTTGAAAAACCAAGGTTACTATAACTACAACAACAAGCTCTACTGCGATATCCACGCCAAGCTCGCAGCTCTACAAAATCCACCACCCGGCACCGACGGTTATGTACCCGTGCCAATTAAACCGTAAGTATTTTATGTCCGTAATTTAAATGAACTACATTTCGTAGAAAACACTGAATTTAATCAACTATGAAGTTTTAATTCGAAATTATTGATCACTGAGTTTACATTCATATTATTGCACATTAGATCAAAAAAAGTTCAATTTGTTTCAAAAGTTTTTAAACCCTCATAATATGGGTTTTTCAGGAGTGCTCAGCTAAATCTGTTTTTATGGCTTCAATTGGCCAACTCGGACCTGCAATATTACGCCTTAAAACGTTCGCTACCAAACGTATTTAAGCAGTGCGTCATCACAGACCAGGTGGAATATTATTTGTTTTTGTCTAGTGTTGTGGGTCTTGGTTGTCATTGGGTATCTCAGAAACTCAAATTCATAATAAAAGTAATTGTTTTAAGCCTGACACATATTTGTGACGCTGGTATATAGAGATATCTTTCGATATAGACAAGGGCCACATTTATGTGATAAGCTAAACTTCAGGATTTTATCTAACTCAGTTTAATTCAAAAATACAAAGCTTACATAAAATTAAGTCTAGGTGAAAACATAGTAGCATTATGGCTTGTTTTTGGTGTGTTCAAATTTATTATGTTCAAACAAGCCTAAATATATGTCCTTACCGTCCTCTGTGTATTTACTTCACTATGAAGCTAATATTTTCCCTCTTAAAGTCGGTAAAGACTTTACCACGTGCCCTGTAAATAAACATAACCTCATACTTAACAGGTAGCTGTAATACCGAGCCCACTTGTCACAAACGTGTGCCAGACCTTTATATAGACCATACTGTATCCAACAACCCACTATCGCAGACGGCAATGAAAGGAGGTTTAATTTAATGAAGTTAGACCGGCGTCACACATTTGTGTCGGTGGTCCCACGTGAAAACCCAGCTGACACATATATGTATGTGACGCGTGGTAGCGAACGTGTTAAGAATTTTTTGTGAGTTACCGTGAAGGATCGATTTTAAACGAACAATCCATTAACTATTCAGGCCCTTAAGGTCTTGGAAATTGCGAAGCTAGCCCAGCAGCCACATTAATGAAATGGAGTTCGATATACATAACTACCCAGTGGCGGACCCAGGTAGCGGAAATTGCGGAAATCTATATCTATATCTATATCTATATCTATATCTATATCTATATCTATATCTATATCTATATCTATATCTATATCTATATCTATATCTATATCTA